CTTGGCTTCATTAAAAGCTGGGATAAATTGCTTTTGTATTTAAAACTGTTAAGTTTGAAACAGTTTTTCTTAATAGTTCTTATGTAAAAGACTCAGGCTATTAAACCAACCAAGACACAGAATATTTGGGTGCACTAGTGCAGCTGTTAAAGCTGAGTCACAACTTCTAAGGTAGCTCATAGCTTTTGCTTCATTCTGAGAAAATACACTTGTGGACCAAGACAAAACTTGATTATTTAAATAGATCTGAATTATGGCTCAGAAGAGAATGGCTGATATTCTTTAGTGACCAAAAAAGTGAAAGTGTTGTTGGCATGAGCTGGTTTTACAGCTGAAAATAAAAGGTAACTGTTGTAACTTAACTCCACTAAAAGAGATGAATGTAGATTTCATGTTTTCATAGCCATGTCCGGATGTTTTTTGGTTTCCAATATTTTCTGACACTGCCTGTGATGAATTGGTAGAAGAAATGGAACATTTTGGACAATGGTCTGGCGGAAAACACCAAGTAAGTGTCAGCCTCTATAAACATTATTGAGAGTACATTTATAATAAGTCATAGTGTACTGCAATAAACTTTCCAACAAATGCTAATGACCCGAGACATCTGCTGCATGGTATAAAAATGCCTTGTTTTGTCTACTACATAGCTTGTTGTTCAGTAGTTTAAGACATTCCTCAATTAGCCTTAAAGTAGCAAATTCAGACTTTAGGCATACTGCAGCTGCTGTAGTAGTTATCCAAGGCTGATCTTCAACTGTTCAGAGAAGTTTTTACTCATTCACCTCAAATCCTGATTTGTCAGACTTGCCCCCCTAAGTGGTTACCTACAGGTGTCATAAGATACTATTTGTATTTGCACCAGGTTCAAAGTATTCATAACTACTGCTTAAAGCAGTATTCATAAGTATTCATAACTACTGCTTAAATCCAAGTTCTAAAAGCAAAGGTTTATCAATTTTGCAAATGCTTGGAAAGGAGATATGTTGCAGTCACGATTTTACTCCAGGTTGTAGCTTCTAGAAAGGCTTCTTAAAATGCTTTTATCATAAAATTATTTTAGCATATTTAATTATAAGCATACTTAATCTTATTTAATCTTAAAATTATTTTAACATTTTTATCATGACAGTTGAGGCCTGTGCTCTGATCTGATCTAACTTTTTGCATCTACATCTCAATAATTAAAACCAGTTCCCTAGTGAAACTCTTATTTACAGGCAGCACATTTGGATGTGCTGCCTGTAAAGGCAGGTGTCCACTTACCTTTTAAAAAACATCCAGTTCTTGATCATTGATACTTCAGCAATTACTCACAGCAGTTAGCTGTGAGATTACTGTACGTTAAACTTATATATGCACTGCTCTGCAGAATCATGAATGCTTGTAGAAGTGCCAGAAGCATTCCGTGCCCATATTTCAAGACTATTTATGGTGTTTTCATTAGGACAGCCGTATTTCTGGAGGTTATGAAAATGTCCCAACTGATGATATTCATATGAAACAAATTGGACTGGATAATGAATGGCTGCATTTCATAAGAGAGTTCATTGCACCAGTGACACTAAAAGTGTTTGCTGGCTATTATACCAAGGTATGTGTTTAAAAGTATTGCAGATAATCTCTAAATGCAATTACTAATTCTAAGTATTTTAACACGTGTATCATAGCCACGTAGCAGTAATTATAGATGAATATTGTGTTGTTAACTCAGCTTTAAATGGAGAAACAAAACCAACAGCAACAAAAAACCTTATGTGTGACTAGGAAGTTTGCATGTTGAAGTCTGACTATATATTTTGTTTCAGGGATATGCTTTATTGAATTTTGTTGTAAAATACAGCCCTGACAGACAGCGGTCACTCAGACCTCATCACGACTCCTCTACATTCACGATCAATATTGCACTCAACAAAGTAGGAGAGGATTTTCAAGTAAGTTGGCAACAAACTTATTAAAATTTAAAAAGTCATTCTTGGAGTGTCTAATATTGTTTTCAAACTAGAGCCCAAATGGATATACTGAAAAGCTGTGTTGAAGGGGAAAAGATGCAATGCAAGCAGAGAGATTTTATTTCCTGGTGGTTTTGATGAAAATTTTTCTCTATTGCAGGATCTGTGCCTGTTAATGCACTAAAGTTGAGTTGGTCAAAATGGCTTTAGATGATGGAGGAAAGGAGTAGAGGAAAAAGTTTGGAGATATTCACTTTTTACATTTCTGAAATGATTAATGTAGTGAAATACATTTTTTTTCATTTTTAAATACTACCAAGTTCTCTTAAATGGCTTTTCTTTAGTTTTTTTGTTTTTAAAAAAATTCTTTAGGCCAGACACAAAACTGAAACTTTCACTAAGGACAAAGTAGTACAGTTGTACTGCTTTCTCTTTTTGCCCTAAGATAAATTTTTTGCTGTGATACTTATTCAAATAAAACAGCCCTCAGGAAATGGAGACAAACAGGGTAGTAACAGTAACATCCAGCTTTGACTGGTAGAGAAACTTAAACCTTTTTTTATAAGGCCATGTCCTGTATCATTTGTACTTGCACTTAACATCCATATGTATGTTTCTCAAATTTATTCCTTTAGAAAATATTGCTTCAGCTTGAAACCAACAACTAGACTAATTTAATTAGCATTGTTTAAATGCTGTCATGGATAGAGATGCAGTTCTAGAACAGGGCCTATGAACATTGGTTTGCTATTCTCCGCATCATTTGCAGTAATGTTACTGAAAATCTGTTTCTCGGAGGTGCTGACTGAATGAGTTGGTATCCAGGGAATGCTAAAGTAAAGTAAGGGGAAATATAAATTATTGCTAAATCTCGCCTGTTATGTGTTGCTCAGAAGACAGTAATTTGAACAATAGTATGCATAGTTTAAACAAAACTTACTGTAACAGCCTATTATTATCATATTTTAAATTGTGGATAAATATTTATCATAAGTGTGGTGTTGGTTTTGTTTTTTTTTGCTACAGGGAGGTGGATGTAAATTTCTTAGGTACAACTGCTCCATTGAGTCACCCAGGAAAGGATGGAGCTTCATGCACCCAGGAAGACTTACTCATTTACATGAAGGACTTCCTATCTTGAATGGCACAAGATACATTGCAGTATCGTTTATTGACCCATAATTTTATTTTGTCCTCTTCGACACCAGTGTTTGATTCTTTACCTAAACATTTATTTATAGTTTTCTTCTGGAAGATGGTGATACAAGAAATTAAGTTACTGTTCCTAGACAGCAGGGTTACTTTGGGTTAAAGAACAAAAGAAAAGTTTTTAAATTTCTCAGTATCTGCTCTGAGCCTTGAGTCACAAAATAAACATGTCCTGCTTATCTTTCCATTTTGCTGTCCTAAAGAGTAGGTAAGGAGGAAAAACGGAAAATCATTTTACAATGAATCTTTCTATTTTGGGAAAAATCCTAGATGCAAAATTATCTGAAACTTATTGTGGTTTTTATTCAAGTGACACATTTAAAATTGTGTAGTGTATATATTTGGTACCAACTAATTAAAAAGCACAGCCTAAAAACAAAGTGAATGTCATGCATTTATTGGGGTTAAGCAATAATTCTGGAGACTGGTATATATATCTAAGGGAAAACATCTCAGTAGCCTGTTTTCTTAATTCACTTAAAGATGCACATTTCAGTATTTTAGGGGAAAAAAAGGCAGAGATGGAGTAATGATTAAATAATTCAGCTAAGAAAAATGTTTTTATCATTTGTTTTAAGAACTCAACGTGTTAAAATTACTTATCTTCACCAAGTGACCTTCACTTAAAATAGTTATTTTTCTAAGTATGTAATTGAACCCAACTGATGCTAGAAATTTGGTGTTTATTTTCAGTGATGGTAAATTTTAATAGCAGGATCTTTTATAAAGACAATTTTCTACTTGTATTTAAAGTTACTTGAATTTTGTATCAGGAAAATGAAATTGTGGAAGTCCCTTTTAAACCTAAGGGTCTTAACTTGCTGTTTATTTTAAAGAAATACATTTAAAATATTCCTACTGTATCTACTGTTTGTAATTTAAAGAAACTTGAAGCAAACTATCTCAAAGTCTACTGTGCCAAAATGCACATCTTGGAAAATCTTGTGAAAAATAAAGGGTAATTTTAATGTAACACCTTGTGGTTTTATTCGAGTGGGCGGCTGAGCTCTGCCACACCTGCTCTCACTCCCCCTCCTCAAAGAGGAATAGGGAGAAAATGCAATGAAAAGGGCTCAAAGGTTAAGATAAGGACAAGGAGATCATGCAGTAATTATCATGACAGGCAAAACAGACTCAGTATAGGGAGATAGTAATAAGCAATAAGTCTTGCTAACACACTAGAGAAGTGAGAAACAAAGGAAAGAAACCAAAAGTGCCTTTGCCTCCATCCACCTTCTTCCACCTCCTCCCCTAGAGGCACAGGGGAACAGAGGAACAGAGGTTATGGTCAGTCTATAGCTTTCCTTCTCTGCTCCTTCTCGGTCACTCTTATCTCCTGTGTTGTGGGGTCCCTCCCATAGGATACAGTCCTTGGTGAACTGATCTGGTTTGGGCTTCCCACAGGCAGCAGCTCTTCAAACACTGCTCCAGATATGGGTCTGTACCACAGGGTCCATCTTTCAGGAGCAAGCCGCTCCAACCTGGATACCCTACAGGCAGCAGCTCCTGCCAGGTCATCTGCTCCTGCATGGTCTCCTCTCCATGGGCTACAAGTCCAGCCTGGAATCTGCTTCACAGGCTTCAGTCTCCATTGGTGCAGGTCCACCTGCTCCACTGGTACTTCATGGGCTGCAGGGGGCAGCCTGCTTCACCATGGTCCTCACCACAGGCTTCAGGGGACTTCTGCTCTGGCACCTGGAGCACTTCTTCCCCCTCCTTCTTCACTGACCTTGGCACCTGCAAGGCTGTTCCTCACTCATCTCACTCTCCCAACTGCTGTGTGGTGCAGTGTTTTTTTTTTTCCTGTGTTAAATGCATTCTCACAGAGGCACAAAACAACATCACTTGGTATTGACAGTTCTGGTCAGCAGTGGGGCCCTTATCAAACATGGGGCAGCGTCTAGATCCTTCTCACAGAAGCCACTCCTGCTACCCAAGCCTTGCCACGTAAACCCACTACACACCTTTTGCTTGAATGTATTAGGGTTTTTTGCATATTGTCTTTATTATTACAGAAGTTACACTTATTTTTTTTCAATGAGTTCTAGATGCACTTAGATTGCTAGAAGCTTCCCAAGATGGTGCTGGTTTTCAGCTTATTTGCTTTGTTACTGTTGAAGTTATTTCTCCTGTGAGTTGGCACCTATGAACCAAATATTGCGTTACACTTTCAGAACAACCCCAGCAGAATGCATGTTTCTTGTCTGTGCCTAACTTTCCTTCATTTTTAGTAGAGAGGCTTTGGATCTAAATAGTAAATCACTTTTTACCTGCTGAAGAAGCTTCATATCAAGTTCTACTAAACAGAAGTTCTACTTGGAGCTGAGAGGATGGGGAGCGAAGTTCAAAGACTATATTACCCCAAATAAGCGTGTTTATTTCCATACCAGGTTGTTTTGAAGAGTAGATTGTAACCATACCTCGTCCCACTGAAGCAAATGCATCAAAAATTAATAACTTTGATGATACACAAGTGAGCTGGCTTGAAAAAAGCTGTTTTCCCATAGGAAGCTTTGCTTTCATTTCCCATACACTTCCCAACCCTTCTCCATTTCAGGATAATAATCAGAGGTTGACAAATATATCCCCCAACGTTGTTTCCAGATGCAAAACACCTCTTAGTGAGCGTCTGTGGATATACAGCCTGTGCTTAGGCAAACACTACAGACCACAAAATCTTAACGAGTTTGAAATGAAAGCAGCCTGTGTTAATTGTTTTTTTTTCCTGAGCATTTGCCTGCAGTCTGTTAGACTAACTCTGAACAGAGTAGTGTTACTTAACACTGGATCAGTTAAAGACAGCTTAATTCTAAATGGAGTTTTCTTGAAAAGCTGCAACTACAACAACAAAAAAGACAATCCTTTAACACAAAACATTGAAAGATTTTAAAGTGTTCTTTCATGACTTGTTTTATGTATTTTATACTACTCAGTCACATTAGATTTTTTTCTGCCTTTTTCCCCCACAACATAAATATTTGTGCTTACTGTTAAATTTGTTTTCATCTATTAATTTTCTTGCAGATGTAATGCTTTATTTAATGTATTGCACACTCACTGGAAGAGATGTGTATACCCATGCTCACGTTACTAAAAAAAAAAAATTCTTTTTTTAAAAAGTTCTTGACAAGGCTGTCCGCTTGCTTGAATTGTACAGAATTGTCTAAAATCAATTCTTGAGAACTAACAGATACCAGGAAAAAAGGTCTCAATTGTTCACCTGAATTCATTCTGAAAGTTTTGCTACACTGCTATTATGTCAGTGCACTAGCTCCAACTGTCACTGTTCAGAAACTATTTTTAACTTTCATTAATTTTAAAAGCAGTTTTAAAAGGTTTTTCAGTCCCCAACAGTGTTTGTTTTGAGATATGCATACATGTATGTGCCTCAGAAAGAAAGCAGTAACTTTAGTCCCAGAAGTGTATGAGAGACCTTGGGAGTACAGGGACATGAAGGTGCTCTGCAACAGATGAGACATTTGTAAAGTATCTATTTTGTTTTGCTTTTGCTGGCTTTATTTTTCACTGTGAAGTACTTGAATTTAAGATTATGATGTGGGGAAGAGGTGGTAGAAGGGGGTATATGGATAAAGAGGATTTCTTAACTACTTTAACTGAAAGGGCGTAGATTGTCTTCATATTTGTGAGACTGCTACTTCTAAATAACATTCAGAATACTTAGTAATACTTTCACACTTTTAATCTTTTACATCACTTACAACAAGGAATATTTGTCACTTTTTTTCCCCAAAGTATTGTTGCTCCACTCTTACTGTGAACTGATAAGAATAAGACTGACAAGCCCAAAAGAAAGATGGATTTTCAGTAAGGCAATAATAAAAGTCCAATTGATTGTGCCTTTTCCATGTCTTTTCCCCAGTTTACAGTATTCATGGAATAAATATTAATTCAAAGCACAGCTTCCACAACAGCTTTATTTTCAATGTGTAGGAAATAAGGAGATAAAGATACTTGGAGAAGTCTAGAAACCCCCCCTTAATGAGTAATTCTGGATCTAATGAAGCAGACTGTCTTGTTCAACAGTAATGTTGTAAAAAATACTTGTAAGAAACTTGTAACATTATCAATTTTCAAAATCCTGAATACAAATCAAACATTATACACAATTGGAAAGAAATGCTTCTCTTGTCTTAATTGAAACCTTTTATTTGTTACCTGTATTCTTTTTTTTTTTCTATCTTCTGTAGTAATATTCCTATTTGATATAGGTTTTAACATCTGCATGAATACATCCCACTTACAGATTGATGTCTATCTTTTAGTGATTCTTGGGAGGGGGAAACGAGGAGGTGATGAGTCAGTGCTCAGGAAACCTCAAAATTCTTCCCAGAGAACTGCAGCACTGGCACAGCTGCACAGCATGATCCTTGACCATAAGCTAGCACAAGGAGACCTGAGAAGCAGTTGATTTCTTGATATGCTTCTAAGGCTGCTATGTGTAGAGAGTTGATTGTTGTTCGCTTTCTCCCTCAATAATTTATTGCTTTTGGAAAGTTAGTTTCCTGGATAGAGCATCACTTCAGAGAAGCAGTTCTGCCTGTGCTTAAAGCAGTACCTCTTGGGATTTTGCACCAGAAACAAATATGAGATAAGCTATCTGATAAAAGCGTATTTGTATCAATCTATCTAATAGGTTAAGGTAGGAGTTCAAAAGTAGGGTTTCACTCAGCATGCTTACAGCCTTTACTGGCATCAGTCCAGATTCAGAAGCAGCAAAGCTGCAACCTGGCCAGCATGGAGGAAACTGGTTGCATCATGGGCAGGCAGCACTTTGATCCTCACTGAGTTTAAAATCCCAGGTGTGAGAGCATTGTGGCCTTTCAAAGGAAGGGTCACAAGCATGAAGCAATATGTGTGAGAAGTTGGGGCAGAAAGTGTTAAGTATAAGCTACTAAAAGCTAATTTTAACACTTAGAAGAATTTGGAGTAGTGGTGAATGCAGTGAGTGGGTGCACAATGCAATGCTGAAATTCTGGCACAGCCAATGTAGAGACTAACCTCTGAGTCGCTTCCGCAAGCTCAAGGGATCATGAGATATATAAAGCAAGTTGGTCATTCTTTAAAACGCGCACCACATAAAGTGGGGCAGGCAGTCAAGGTCCTAATACCTAAAACATTTTGCCTTAAAATTTCCAGATTCATGTTGCCTCAGACTTTGCTGTGCCACCATGAACTATAATAGAGATCTTGATAGCATTACTTGCAACAAGAGAAAATTCTTACTTGTACTTGTGCAGCTGTATGCTTTAATGTGTATGAGTGTTTTGGCCACACGAGGTAGGAACTCTTGGTTCTCTTTGCCTGTGCCCTCATCACTCTTTTATTTATTTATTTATTTTTCAGTTTATAGAGCCAGTGGAATGAGATAGACAGAGTGAGCCACTGTGAATGCCGTTCCCCTGGTGCTGCTGGTGAGCCTTCTGTCCTGCCCTGTCATGTGGCTGGTGGAGCAGGTAACCACTGAGCTGCTTCACTGCCATGGTATGTGTTTAGTGAGGATTTTTAGTATTCACCTCATGATCTATCAGTCTACGTGAATGTAGGAACACAAATCCATGCTTGATCTCTTCCGAAGCCTGGCTGTATCTCAGTCTTGTTCAGCAAAGGGGATGTTTTTCATTGTGCTTCTCAGACTTGGAAAAAGGGATTTCCCACATTCTGAATGCTAGGGAGCACAGGGAAGCATGCAGCCAAGACTTGATTTTATGTAAATAAACTGACATAAAGGAACTTTCCAGGAACTTGATCCACATTAAAAGAAATTCTAAAGGAGAAGTAGGAAAACAAGATACAAGCTGAACACAGAGGTGAGAGAAATGCTGTGCATTTTGCATCGATAGGCAGACATAACCTACCTGAAGCTGGAAAACGCAGATGTGGAAGTCTGAATAGAGATACCAGTGTGTTTCCAAAATAACTCTGCAGGTATTCTTGAAATGTTGCTTAAGCAAATAAATGGTTCTATTCTTGCCAAGTTGGTCCCATTCTTATTTACTTTTAGTCTGAAAGGAACAAAAAGGACATTATAAAGCTACAGCACCATTCAAATGTTGGGAAACAGAAGCTCTTTTTTTTGAAAAAAAAAATTATATTGCAGAGGAAAGGGAAACTTTGCAGCCATTAAGATGTCAAAACTACTCCCTGCATGGAGTATTTTATGACCAGAACCCTGAGGAGGCACTTGAGGAATATCGTCCAAATACCACACCCTGAAGGCCTATTTTTATTTTTGTGTGGATTTAGCATTCTTTAAAAATAATTCTTAAAAAAGATCAGGAAGTAGCTACAGACATGCTTCCTGAAGGGTCCTCTCTTCATGGACAACCAAAAATATGAGTTAGCATAAAGCATAGGTATTTGACCATGTGGCTGGACTTGCAGCCTTGTGATCATTTCTCAGCCAGGAAGCTCCCTGGGCATGCTACTGCATGTGGCACTGCTGCCTAATGGGGCTCAGGTCTGGCATTAAAACTCCATGACAAGTCTATTCTAGGCTAACAGTTTAAAGACAAATAGAGAAATCTGTTTTTGAATAGATTTTAAGCAATAATTTGAATTTGCGAATGCAGGTTGCTGATACAAGTATTAATTTCAGCTGGAGTGAGCGTGTGTACAGCTTCAAAGTATCCTTTACTTGGAATTGTCTGTGAGTCGATAAGTTAGCAAAAAATTCATACCCGAAGTGCTCATCAATTTCCTTCCTGCAAAGCAGGTGATGTTGGTTTGTATTGAGACTCTTTGGGTACAGGAGATTTTGGAGAGGTCTGTGAGGCCTCACATGGAGGGGAGGTGGTAGGTGGGGTAGTCCTTTAATTGGAAGAGACATTAAGCAAGGAGGCATGACATGAAAGTAGTGGGTCTGAAGCTTTTTTGCATGACATGTATTTGAGCTGTGGATGTTCACAGGTTGTCAGAGCAGACTGCCCAAGGTCATGGGTGAGAGAGCCCCTGAGGGTTTTTAAGAAGACATCCCCAAACTGCAGGTGCTTAAGGGCCCACCTAGATAAAGACTTGCATTTTTATTCTGTTGTTACCTCTTGCCCAGGGACCTGCTTCTGACCATTGCTGGAGACAGAGTCCTGTCCCACTGTGGCCAGTGCTTCTGTAACTTCAACTTCTGCACAATATCATGAGGAAATGGAGAAGCTGCTCTTCTTGTTCTGCTTGTCTTGGACAGCAGAGCCTTGGTCTCACACAGGTTTGTTGCCAGTATTCTTTTTCTTCAGGTCTCAGTCCCGTCCCGTCCCGTCCCCCCCCCCCCCAAAAAAAATAATCCTTTAATTCATAACTTCTTTGCTGTATTAAAATTGCATAAAGCTTTGTGGATGGCAAAGTCCTCTTTCAACAGCACTTGTGAAACTGATTTATGCTTAGTAGGAAGGTGTTTTTATTGTAGAGCTTCTGTACAATTTGAGTGAACTTTCAGTAGAAATCCTGGAGCTTTGAGTGGATTTCCTGAAAATATTAAATAAAGACCTCTCTTGGATATTGGCAGTGAAACTTAAGGTAGGAAAGATGGATCTAAAATGCAAGAAAGGTTTGAATATGTAGCAGTGTTTGGAGTTAAGTTTAAAAATTAATTTACAGTTTAAAGAAGGTAGAGCCAAGAAAGTGTAACCTTATAAAAAGCCTCTTCATTAATAAAAAAAAAAAAAAAAAAAAAGTAAAAAATCAGATAAGACAACCAATCTGATTTTTTTCACTGCATTGGTGTGGGGCAGTCTACTACACTGTATGTTTTTTATGTATTTTTTTACTTAAGAGAAGTAAGGAAGTTCATGCAGTTCTTAAGCAATACAAGCCCCTAGGTCTATAGAAATTAATGTATTAATGCGAGAAGTGATAAATACATAAAATATATAGCCTGAGTGTGCATATATAAGGAAAGTCCTGTTGACAAAGTATATCCAGTGCCCCTGAGGCTGGAGGTCTGCAGTAAGCAAAGCTCGTGTTTTGTGCTGGAGATTCCATTAGAGAGAATTATTTGATTTCCTTACATAATGGGAGCTGAATGCTATATGCAAAGGAGAACTGCAGCTTTCTGTTCATGCAAAAGGAGTTGGTCTCATAACGCTGAAAATATTTCACTTCACAAAAACTTTAGAGAAGCGTATCTTTGTGTGTATTATAACTCATACATAGATACCGGTACAGTGTAATTACTTTTACTTTATAAAGACGAGTTGAGTTTTATCTTTCCTATATACAAAACTACTGCTTCTGCTGTTTTGTTTTTTGATGTTTTTCTTCAAGATGAAGTTTTTATGTGCAGCATGCTATATTGTAGCGCAACTCATTTACTTTAAAGGCAAGCCAAGGGAGCTCTTCTAGACTGAATGCCTTCCACAGAATAATTGCCTATGAAAAAGTTTATAGGAAACGTTACTGGATTTTTAATCTTTTCTCTTAAGTGTCCAAGAAGAGATAAGAGGAGTGTTTATTGCTAAACATAAGAATGTTTTCCTTTCAATAATGAAGTTTGCAGATCCAAAATATCTACTGCAGAAAACTGGGTTGGTTTTCATTTTTTTTTATGGTGGAAGAAATAAAACTTTTTTTTTTTTTTTTAGTGGAGCCAAGTGGTTGTATTCAAAGTACAGTTTTAAGCCTTCATGCATAAGAAATGAATATTATTGCAGTTAAAAAAAAAAGTATAAGGCAGTGGAACTGAGTAAGTGAGTGACCAACGTGGCATATCACGCTCTACTATTAAGTAGAAAAATAGCATTTAGTGTCTTTTTTTCATTCCAGTTGCTAAGTTCTAAGGAATAGTGAAAAAGATTGGTATTGTCAGAGTTAAGCAGATCCTCTGCTGTCTTTCATTGTCTGCAGTATAAGGCTGATTGCCCAACAAACTTGTCTGCTCTCATTTGCCATGTTTTGTCATCCAAAGCACCAAGAATTATTCATAAGGCCAGTAATAGAAACTCCTAGAGTTCCCCTCCCCAACTTGTTTACTTTTCTATTTCCTTGTCATCAGCTTCTAGATGAGTTTGGTATATTATTTTTTAATTTCACTGTACTGATTTCTGCGTGTGTTGCCTGGTAGAATGTTTCATGTTACAAGTGGAGCACTGAGACATGGCATTTCTCTGTACTTTCTGCCAATGTCTTTCTTGAAGCCAGTATTTTCCTAAATGCCTGTGGTCCACTGGTAAAGCGATTACAGAGATGCCTGCAGTCCTTCCTGACCACTTTATTAAACATTTCACTTTTTCAAGAACCTGGAAACTGGTTGTAGATACAGAGCTTCTTTCTGTGTTCCCACCTGGCTTTAGTTCAGCATGTTGGTAGCTTCTGTATAAAGTGAATTCTGATAAAGAGAATATTCATCCTTTTCAGCCAGCTTTCCAACCTCCTAAGTTTTGAATTATGAATATTTTTCTTTGTACTAAAGTGTTGTGGGAAGGGAGAAAACACTCCAACATCCAACCAGTAGCACTGGCAATATAAATGGTACTTAAGTGTGAAGTATGGTTTCTGCATGGAATGCTTTTCCATACTCCAGTTCCTCTTTGTCTCCATCCCTCCTTCAATTCAGAAAAAAATGTAGTCAAACCAAATGCCAAAGAAAAACTTTCCTTAGCTTTTAAGACTGAAAATAGCTTCAGGACTGTAGGAAGACTTGTATAGGTACTAGATGAACTGCTTTGCACTCTGTCAAGCCTGTACTTACCTCTCAGGAAATTATTTGAAGAACCATTATAACAGTTTGAACTGAACTGCTGCCTTCTACAAGCTAGAGTGCATTATGCTTTGACTAAACCATAACACAAGAAACTCAAAGAAAGCATTCTGTAACATTTACTGATACTCAGTGCTCATTTTCTTTAGAGGTTAGGGCTATTAATTAGAGAAGGCTATTCATCTCAAATTCACTAAACTTGAACCAAGAATAACAGTAAGGAAGAAAATGCTTCTAATTTGTTAGTAATTTTTGAGAATTCCCACAACATCATGACCTTGATTTAATTAATGACCTTAATTTAATTAACTTGGTGGTTACTTAAGGCTGTCTGCAAGAATAAAAAAATATTAATTTTAATTTTCACACAATAAAAATATCACTATGTATGAAAAATAAAATAAGGACATCTGTTTTGGGCCCACACCTCCAAATTGCTGCTTTTTTGCACATCTGTTTTGTGTTGCACATCTGACTTGTTTCTTCTTAAAAATTACCTTTCTCAATTTATTTCCATAGTATATCTGTTCTATAAATGGTCTTCCATAATTTTCTGGGGAAGTCAAAGTATTTAACCTAGTTAATAAAAGCATGAGCAAACTGGGACAGTGGAACAAAAAAAATGCTTTGCCTTATGTACATGCTTTTTCCCTGGTGAGAAGCCGAAGACATAATAGTGCCTTTATACTGTCTGCCATCCTGTGGCCAACACAGAATTTTACAGATGCTTACTAAAGAAAGGAAGGGATCATGACATTAGAAATAAAGGTAGACATAATAGTTTCAAAAATACTTAAGCTTGATAGTTAAGGTACAATTTTAGAATTCAAGTCTGGTAATATTCACCTATGAACACTGTCCATTTAGATGCATGTGCCTTAAGAAAAGAAAAAGAAAACCATGAAAAATGCCTGCATAACCACGTTTTTAGGTAGTAGTTGCAAAGCATAGTCTGAAAGAGGATGAAGTAGTGTCCGCTCATACAGCAGTACTTGTATAGCCTTTCATCTAAGTGCGTCAAAGTATTTTGCAACTAGATGGGAAAATTGAAGCTCAGGATAAAATGATTTGTTCATCCTGTTTGGCACCAGCTCTGGGAAGAGGCTGCAGTGTCTCAGCTTGCAGCCTTGGCTCTGACCTCCAGCTGAGTGACTCAGTGGCCAGGCGAGCATCCACAACACATCCGTGCCTTCCCAGCAGCCCCTCTCCAGCCTGGGATGACGGGAGGGGGCTGGTGGGATGGGACATGCTTCAAATACCAGACACAGCTCTCAGCCAGCTCAATGCACAAAGCAGAAAGCAAGAGAAACTTTCCCAACATGCTGATGTCTAGTGCGGGATCTCTTCCCCGGACCAGCTCTGCGTCTTTCTAAAAATGTTTCCTGGTAAGAAACCAAAATCTCTGGACCATTGGAGCCAAGAGCAAGGCCAGACAACGCAATGCTGTGTGAGCATCTCTTCCCTTTCCTCATCTTATATGTGGGGAACACTCCAAATCCATGGCACCAAATCTCTACTGCACCTGGCGTTAATGCATTCGTTTGGCACTCAGATGAACTGTTAGTACTTCTGACTTACACCTTTGTTTGAATAATAATAATATAAGGACTTAATATAGTTAATATACAACAGATAAAATAAATTGTCTATTATTTTCCTAGATGTTGGTTGGATTTACCTTTTCAGATGGCATATGTGGTATGTATGAATTACCTGGGAGGTGGGAACACTTTCTTAAGTCTTACCTCTAATTATTTGTATGTGAGAAAATAAATTCTCACCAAGGATTAAAAGTAAAGTTTTATCTTGTTTCTTTAAAATGACTTACTGTTCCAGAAGTTGAAGTTGTTTGGTTTTGTTTTAATTGTTCAACTCCTTATCAAAAAAGTGTCAAATATCTTACATGAGCACTGTTACATATGTATGTTTTTGTACCTTCCCAAAGCCTGTTAAAAAAAAAAAAAAAGAACTTAAAAATATATATTAAAAAAAAATCTTTCTACAGAACACTTTCTTGGAGTCCTTTAACAAGTTTTAGGTGGATAGAGCCACTTTTATCAGCTCTAATCTGATGTTTTTTCCTACTCATTTTAGCCAAAAGAAAAAAAAAAAAAAGTTAAATGGAAACTTGCTACATTTCAGTGAGTAAACTAACTGGTTATGTGGTGTGTAGGCTACAGGGGAAAAGACAAAATGGAGAAATTATTTACATCAACCTTAAAACTGTAAGTTGCTCATACTATTAAGTTTTATAATGATTCATTGTTAATAGTAAATAATTCTATTTCCCTTAGCTGCTTTGGGCTAGATCTTGAGCCACTGTCTGATAGGGCCAAGTTTTCATTTTTCATCTCATAAATTTTCTCTTGGCTAAGTTAAATTCTTTCAATGTAATTTCATTGTCAAAGGAACTCATTATCATGAGAAGAGGCAATTAGTGATTAAAGCCAGTTTGAATTTTTGGATTGGAATTTGAATTTAATGGTGCAGCAGATCAAGGGGTATAACAGTAGAATCACTTTCTTACTGGAGATTAACAACTCCCACTTCCTTATGACCTGAGAATTTATGGTTTTGGACCACATGGAACCATTTCATGTTGCATGATTTCCTTTTCAGCTGTGGTGAGTGGGAATAGCATTTTAAAAATAATGACTGAAAAATAAGAAATTCATAAACTAACCATAAGGATTTTTTGATGGTTTTTAATCGTCATCCTGTTTCGTGGTAACTTAAGGTGGTTACTTCTGTTCCCTCTAAATGCACTAAAATACAAAGGACCATAAAGGTTTAATAACTGTCTTTCCTGTAAGAATGCAAAATATAGCAAGTATCTGTTCAGTTACCCAGGGACTGCTGTGATCACTTGTACTGACTCAGGTTAAGGCAGAAAAAATAAGAGATTCTTTAATTAAAAACAAAACAAAGTGCACACAGACATACAAACAGGTTGCTGGGAATATTAATGTCTGCTGAGCAGCTTTTGTGCCACAGGGCAGCACCATTCCACAAATGCCACGGTCTTCTCCCCCGTCTCTGGCCATCATACAGCACTCATCACAGCTGGGCTTTCAGCCAGGTAACTCATGCAGTGTTTATCTGGAGAGCTCATTCTTGGCCAGGATTGAATACAGGTCTGATGATCCAGATAGTTCTAGAAGTATGAAGCAGTTCTTGAGAGACCAGGATTTCATTGCATTGGTGAAGAGGCTGGAAATCACAAGCAGAGGCAGTGCACATCCAGTGCTGCCAGGCAGCTGCTGGGAATGCTGCTGCTTTTCATGGCTCTTCTGTCCCCCAAGAGCCATCTCCACTGCAGGAAGGAAGGAGATGTGGAAGCTCATGACTGCTGCATTGCTGCTACATCATCCTCTATCACCCATTCAGCTTCACTGGACCCATATGACAGGGCTGAGCTGCAATGAAAATGTCCTTGTTACCGTCTTTAGCTCTTGCCAACATTTATAGCATCAGACAAGATGTTCTTCAGCTCAGAGTGAATGAAACCTCTAAATCAAGAGCTGTATGGCTGCTAATAAAGCAGCTGCTTATTCATCAGATCTCACTTCCTTGCAAATTCTTCTCTGTTTGGGTTTCATTTCCTAGGTGTATGGAAAGTATATATCCATCAAGGAAGGTACTTTAAGGACAAATAAATGTCTGCATGCAATATATTTTATTTGAATTGTCATTTGGATAAAGGCACTTTCTGCAACGGGTTTTTAACTGGAGGACTGAGCTAGAGCTGAAGTGATTCAGGGAGAAAATAAAACCCGAGGAACTCACCTTGAGCAGAGCTGGAAAGAGGCAATAATTTGTTCCCTGCTCCGTTACACAATTTGACAGTAAGTTAAAATGCTTTCAGCTGTAGAACTAGATCCTCAAAAAGCCTGCAGACAAAAGATTTTCCTGTCTTGACTTTTTGTGAGGGGTGTTGGCTCCTGTACGCTGTGTTTGTAGGCTGTGAGGTGAGAGCTCAGCAGGAAGGCATGAACTGAAGCTTGTCCCTGAGTACACACACCATGATCTTTGCCTGAAGGGACAGGGGGAAGGAGCAGACAGTGCTACCACTGTCCTGGGGGAGCCTCAGCCACCCAGAGATGGGCACTGGGAGCTGGGAAATGGGCAACAGGCAACATGACAAAACGCATCTCTTTTTATGAGCCATAACAAGTCTGCATTTTAGTGCCACTTACTCCACAACACAGAGTAAATACCTGTGCTGCATCTCTCTCTATTGTGCTAGGACCTGCCAGGGGACAGGCAGTGATGACTCTGTTAAAGGAGCAGCAGCAGGAGAATGAAACAGAGGTGGTGTTCTTGTGTTCTTTCTTTTTTTTTTTCTTTTTTTTTTTTTCTTCTCCCCTCACACAACAAAATCAGGCTTTTACAAACAAACAGTAGCAAAATAACCTTTTCAGGAAGTACACAGGTTTGTCTTAAAATTTGTCTCTGCTTCAAAATATTTTCTCTGCCATATAGTCTCTGGGAATTAATTTTAATTCATGCTACCAGCATCCACTACTATGTATTAATGTAAAAGTTTGAAGTGCTTTTTACTAATTTGACTCCTTGCATTATTCTGATGCTTAATCAACAGATTGATTGCAGCAATAGAAATTTGAGAAATTAGACTTTGTTTGCTAGCTCATAGTAATTTCTGATATAAATTTGGTGACTGCTAAGGAAAAATGTGGGCATTTACAGGCTTTATTGGACAGAAGTATATGAATACTGATTATGCTATTTATCACACAGATCTTAACTGACTATGTGCTAAACAGCTGCCTTTCCCTTCACTGTGAAGTTGTTCTAGTAGTTTCTTCTTCTTTCCTCATTCCCTAGCCACGTATGTACTTTCTCTCTTAGTCTTTTATTCTGTACAGACGCTCTGTTGATGTTCTTTGAAAGTAGACAGGGAAAAGCCCCTTGTCATTAATATACTTTTTTTTTTTTTTTTCTTCTTTGGCAATGAAGCATTTGGCCACGTCTCTGTGTTCTTTTCCAACCAGTATTGCTTCCAGATGTTTTCTTGTTGCTTCTTTGTTGGTTGTATTTGGATTGTCACTTGATCATTAGCACTCTGTTTTCCAGAGGGAAGCCTTTGACTTGGTAGGAACCAGACACAGAACCAAGCCGCAATTTTCTGACCTCAGCTTCCTCAGCTTGGGTTTATGTTTGGATTTGAGATTTTGGTTTGGCCTATAGCACAGAGCCCAGCCACAGAGTTCATTTCTGAAGTCAGAGGTGGCATTTACCAATGACCCAAGACTACACAAGCTATTGCTTCATGTTGACTACGTGTAGATTCAAACTCTTCTTAACTTCTTTTTTAGTTTAGGACAGTGCTATTTAACTTCTTATTTACTTTCGGACAGTGCTATGGGCAACTACCATCTTCAGTGAAAATAAACATCCCAGAGCTCAATGTGATTTTGCTCCAGAGAGACAAAAATACCAGCTTCAGAAGTAGGAGAGTCTGTCTTGGTAGGCTGGAGTTGGGACTGTGTCTCCCTGAGGTGGCCCTGGCCCAGAGCTGGCCTCTGCTGCCCTGACCACAGGGACTGGAGCTCAGTTTCTGCCCATGGCTGCCTCAGGCCCCTTTTCCCTCCCTCAGACCTGGGTAGGCCTTGCTGGAGGCTCCGGAATCAGCCTGGCTGCAGTGACTGACATGCTCTGGAAGAAAAGCATAGCCAGCACTGTTCTGTAGTGGGTTTGATGTGGGAAGAAAGATTAAAGGTTTGAACAGAAAATGCTGTAGGTATCCTGATTTCCTTACAGCTCTTGCAACTCCTGCATCACACACAAAAAAAGGAGTGTGTGCTTTTCCTCTATAGCCCATAATGGAGGTACTCCCATCATGTCTCTCAGCTGTTGCTTCAAGCATGAAGAACTCTATTATTGTTTTGTCAGTCCTTAAGGGCTGTCTTTGTTTCACAAGTCCCTGTTTTTGCAGGTTTTCCTACTTCCTGGTCGTGGGGAATTTGCCCCTTTATCTTGTTCTTGGGAAGGGGAAGACTCACTGGAGTCTGAGCTGGCTGCGTGCTGTTCCCAGAGCAATTCAGCCATAGGCAAGGGAGAGGCCTTCATCAAAATGGAAGCCAGAAGGTTTTTTGACACAGGGACATCATCAAGACTGAAGAACCTGTTGTAAGGCACCTGTACTGGCAGGAGGCAAAGTTTGCTGAAAACGTTTAGAAGATTAGTTCATTGTTCCTGCAAACTTCAGGTATAACCTTTCTTCCCTCACCTGGGAGAAAGTCAGCCATATTGAAAAGTCATACCAGAAAGTCATACCACATTGTGAGCCGTGGATAATTTGGCAAGATGCTAATGTTTTTTCCAATGGCTGGTTTGGAGCAGATTTGTGCTGGAAGAAGACCAGAAGTGAATAAATCTGGGGAAGGATGTAGAGTTTACATGATGTATAGTTCGCAGGATGTACAGTTCGCAGGGACTTGGCTCCTCTTCATTCATTCCACCACATTTGGAAAGATGTCCACGCACATATGTTTCTCGGTGTGTCAAAGGTGTGAAGAAACCAATGCTTTCCCTTCTCTCAGCCCACAGGAGGGCAACATTGAGCTGCAGCTGAAACAAGCAGGCTTTGCCAAATGCAGGTGTGCAGTTTACTAATTCAAAAATTAATGAATTGGAGCAAATTAGCTAATTTAGAGTTGTTATAGACTCTGGTTATTTACTGATCCATTGGTCTGCATCTACTCTGATTTTGTGTTTTGTTGATTTGTGCTTAATCAGTAATTGCCCTAAATCACTTTTATCATTTGTGGCCAATGAGAATATGTTGTAAAGAATAAGGCAAAGTCGTATGTTATAGATAGTGGCTCCAGATAGTGGCTCTGTTTTTTTTTTTTTTTCTTTGTGCTTCTCATCCTAAGCTGTATTGCATAGTTAAGTGTGTTGCAGAAAAAAGATTATTAGGATTATGGAATTGTGAGGTTGTCTTGAGGAAAACATTACAAGGATAACAGGATGAGAATGTGAACTGTATAATCGTGATAATAGGAAGTGTACCTACACAAAGGTCCCCGTTCAGCAGTAACTTATAGTCTCCATACATCCTGTGCAAAGCCTGGAGCCAGATTCTCAGTGAGGCTGAGGAGCCAGACTTGGGAGAAGCTGAGCAGTGAAGCAGGAGATGTGCCAGGTCCTAAGCAGCTGAGAAGCCAATGTCAGAGGGAATTTGGCACTCAAACACTGTCTGAGACTTTGGACATGTGATGTATTCAGATTGCAGTCAGTTAATAAAATAAAGTGTTTCCTTCTAGGTACAGGTAGTAGAATCTGCTAGAAATAATAAGCAAGACAGAGGCAGGACATGGCAGGAGTGGGAGCAGGTGTTGGTGATGTGTGCCTGTATTACTGCACAGGGGCATGCAGTGAGCAAACTCAGAGCTGAAGTGTGGCAGTCAGAGCAGTCTGAGAAGCACATGGGGCATCCTATGTACCTCAAAGCTCTGGGCTAATGAAGTGATATGACAGCACCGAGCATCATGCTGACACACAATGGGCATGGAGGTATTTAGGAGGCTGAGACAAACAGACTGCTGTGGGTATAGAACAGAACTCTGCTTATGGTGTAATTTGTCATGAAAAACTGTGCTTTCTTTCTTCACCACATTTGTTAATAATTGATACTTTTTTCCCAAGATCTAAACACTTCTCATTTCTATAGTGACAGAAAATAAAACCTCCAATAGAGATCCACAGATAATAAAACAACCGTTTCTTATGTTGTTTCTACTTATGTTTTTAGCAAAAATGTTATTTCTGGAGAAAATGCTTATCAAAATATTTTATAATCAACACATTCTGAAAGCACCACAACCAAGGAGCCAATATATCTGAAAACAGTGACTAGAAGGAGCATGTGCTGCTCCCCTTTGGGGGAAGCCCTATGTATTTGCTTTACCTTATAAGTTGAAAATATCTGCATTATTAGGGGAAGAAACAAAAATTATACAAGAATAAATACCATAAAGAAAAGAAAGTAAAACAACTACTGCTTTACTAGTTTCAGACTAAGTTCTCTGAGGATTTGTCAATCTAATTGCCAGAAGCAATTGTCTGTCTAGCCCATAAAGATAAATCTGTGCCCTCTGTTACAAAATTATCATTAGGAACCTTTGGATCCAGCAATACCCTAATGTTGACTTGCAGAGCAGAGCCTCAGGGCTGGCATTTGTGTCTTCATGGGTAATCCTTTAACCACTGGGAACAGTGACCAGAAATCAGTTATTGACTGCAGGTTTAAATATATGCTGCCAAATTCCTTTATTGAATAAGGAATCCATAAGACTATATAAGCTGTAGTTTCCTTTTTGGCTAAACACAACTAATACCACTAATCCACAAACTCTGCATCATGTAAACTTGATAATAGTAAGATGCTGTTTATTTGAACTGAACTGAATGCTTTGCCCTTAGGAACGGAACTCTGTAACAGAAATATCTACCTTTAGAAAGTTGTGCTAGATTTTTTGTTGTTTGAAAAACGTTCTTTCAGACAGTACATCAAAATAAGGATTTCTCTTTCATTTCTTTCTGAAAAGAAATTCTGCCAGGTGTCAGCAGTGGTGGAAACTATGAATTCGGTATATGCATAAAATGAGCAATATCAGCCCTGGCACTGAGTACTGGCAAAGATGCTCAGATGTGTTTTGAAAGGGCCACCTCCAGGAGCAAAGACAAGTTCAAAAACACAGCTCATATAATATTTTCCAGAGTTTGCTGTGAGTGTTGACAATTTTTCATACTTGCAGGACTCATTCCATCAAGCCATAAAAGGAAATATCACCAACACAAATGCCAGAATAGTCGGTGTGTTTGGATCCAGATCTCCTCGGGTATGGCTCTTTTCTTTTTTTTTTTTTTTTTTTTAAACATCAAAGCTATAGTGGTTAAAGCAATGTATTCTGACTATCACATCAGTGGAACATTTTCCAGAAAATATTGTAAAAGACTCTAGTAAAGGACAAGCAGTTGGGTAGATTGTTAGCAGTTCTAAATGTACACTGGAATAATTAAAAAAAAATCTTATAGCACTTATTTGAATATAGGAATAAAACTTAATTCATAATAATGCTGAACAGTAACAGGTACTGCATGTTAATCATAATAAATGGCAGAAACCTAGTAATCTTCCTAAAAGGGCAAGTTATTTCAATATATATACATGAAGGAACTGCTAATCCTGTTTTTTTATTAAAGTAATCATAGGAGGAACATTTGTTTCCCAAAGTTTAAGAATTAACAATTTTCTTTGTGCTGGGCTTTTTGTTCATCTTCAAATTTTCATTGAGTTTTCCCTCTCCTTTCAGAGATTTCACATTCTCCTTTCAGATTTAGACAATGTGTGTATACATATGTGGTAATGGTGAAAACAGTAAAAGCAAAACCTAGGAGTGTGGAAGCACTCATACTGGGATTTTTTTGGAGAATGGCCAGTTTGGCAGAGATAAGTCAAGATCTTGTTTTCTGTATTTATAGCCTTAATGCTCTACAAAACCTCAAAAAGTGTCAGGCTACATTTGGAATTAGATGTAATAGCATTGATTAGAAAGGAAAGTAAATTAAGTGGGGAAAAAAATCTCAACAATAAAAACAAAATTATTATTATTATTATTTTTAATCAAAAAGGTTGCTGTGCTAGTGCAGGTGGATAATATTTAGCTTGTGTCTGCATACAGATCCGTAGCATTGGTGACGGGTAGAACACAGAGCAGTCTTGGTGTTCCTCAGTGAAAGTCCTTGTGATGTGACTGGGGAAAACAAAAATGCAGACTTGCATATTGTGCATATACACATTCAGGGAATAAAATCAAACCAAAATTTTGAAAACTTATTTTGATGTAATATAAAATCCCATCTGTTATTTCTGTTTTTTTCCCCTCTCCAAACCTGAAAACAACTGAATGCACAGTTTGCAGGCCTGGAATGTCAGTTGAGATTTCAAGTACTCTGAATATAAGACACAAAGTTTCAGATTAAATGATTTTTGACTGAAGAAAAAGCTTGTTTTTTGCTTGTTTATCGTGATATTATGGACATCTAGAGCCAAGTATGTGATTTTGTGGGCCTGTTTTTTGACTTGCACTGCATCTATAGATATGTATGTGAATATGTATACTGCTGATTCTATATAAATAGTTTAGAAAACTCTCCGTTTGATGAAACAACGTGAGAGGATGAGATCTGTAAGTAAGGTAAGTATAGCAATGCTTGCTGTAACACAGAAGTGTTGAGGATCCTAACTTTCAGCATTCCCATATACACATTACCATTGCCTACTATACTGTTTGGAGAAGATAAATATCTTCAGACGCAGAAAGGAGCATTTAGACAACTTGCGAACAGTACACCTGCCAAATGACATGCAGTGTTCCTGAGTCTCCCTGAAAAAAATTAGTAGACACTTTAATTTCAGTGATTAGGATAATATCCATATTGAAGACATGAAATTTAAAATGTTTAACTGAATCATGTATTTCTGCCATGTCCTCTGGGGATTTTTTGACATTTTTCAAATCTTGATTACTTAAAGGTCCAAGTATAATACCACATTAGTATTCAGAAAGAATATTTGAATCTTCATGCATTATTTGATCAGGCTAAGTATGCATCCGACTTTGATTAAGACTTCGCTGATCCTGGAGTAAAATCATTAAACATTCATAAACGACCATTGCTTTTTCTCCTCCTCAAGAATGTACTGACACGTTTTATGCAATTATTTGTTTCAACTATCTTCCTGAACTTGTAACCCCCTTTATATTCTCTTATGCCTGCTTTGTATTAAGTCCCCAAATCTTCATTTCAAAGCATTTTTAAAAGCTAATATACAATCAATTTGAGCTCAGTGAAAGCAAAATTATATGTATAATAGAAAGCACCCTATCATGGTAAGGTTCTTTGCTAATTAACTACAAGGGTGGTTTCCTTTGAGGAATAATTCCTCTGAACTCTTTAATTCCAAGGTTAAAATGTCTTTGATTCTAGGCTCATCTTTTAGAAAGATGTTTCTGAAAGTGATAGCCAGATAACGTTGTTCCCCAAGGTACAATCTGATACCATTTACATCTCCTGCTTGCACATCTCAGCTCAATGCCACAAGGATAGACAGGGAGTTTAATCCATCAGACATCTTTATGTATTTATCTATCTATCTATCTATTTATTTATTTATTTATTTCAGCCTAGCTTCCTAAGAATCCAAGCTCATGGACCTGCCTGAGTAAGTGTAACCCATCCAGACTATCCTGTCCTTAAGGGGTTATCCAACATCATACATATGAGTATGGTTATGGTATATAAGGAGAAATTCTTCCAGTTCTGCAAGGCACATAAACAGGGTCTTTCCTTTTTCCCTGTGCTTTGTGCTTTTGTGCACAACATAAGGGTCCAAAAGAAACAGACAAACCATTATATCCTGAGATGGCAGTATTTTAAGGTGAAATATTTAGAAAGATATTCAAACTGGGGCATTTTCCCTTTTCCATCATTTATTCTAAGTATAAAGATAAATTTTAGAAATATACATATAAAGCATTTAAATATCATATTTATTTATTTAAAGCATCTTAAAGTGTTTATAAATTTTAGATATGTGCTTATCACAATTGAAACTGTTCATAAAAACTCCACTGGCTTCAAGGGTAGGGATTAATCTAAACACATACTTACTAATTACAGGAAAAATACCTACTCAGAATTTTAGGTTAACAGACTTCTTTGCTTTTGGTAGTTTGGTTTAACTTTAATGTAAGTTTGGTTTAACTTTAATGTAATGGAAGCCTAAATATAATTTTGGCACAAAATAAGACAGACATGTCTTAATTGTAAAGGAAGACATGCAGTTTATATTTTCAGTAAAAGCCAGATTGTATTTCTTTAAAGGTGGAATGTATATCTTCTTATATTCATGGTTTATAGTATTTATGAAAGATGCTTTTGTTAGCTCTTTCTCTTGGAAAGAGATTTGTCCTGTCCCCCCTCATTTTCTGCTTCTTGCTTTAATAATAGTAGTGGACTAGTAATGGATTCCAGAAAATAAAACTTTAGTCATTAAGAAAAAATTAAAATTTTAATCATTAAAATATTTAAGTGTGGCTTATTTTATTTATTTATTTTTCTCTCAGAAATACTGTACAGAATGGAATAATTTTTGTGTGTGTGTGCATTCAGAGTAGATGATTTGAAGGTGTAGTAATCCTCCCTGATGCTGAAAATTAACTGTTCAAAAGGAAAACAAAAATCATATATATTTTTTTCAATCCTCCTTTAAGGCTATAAAGCTAATTTTTAAGCAATTCACTTGCTTTGACATATTAAGGACTTGTAGCTTACACAAGGGAATAAGAAAATTTCTTCCTACTCCTCTGATTATATTTTCCACATTCTGAATGTATTTAGTATTAGCTGAGTAAATGAATAAAAAGGTTCTAATTGCTGTTTCAGAATGAAAACTGATGTACAGCCTCTGACAATTCGCCACTGAGACTTGTTTTCAAGTATTTTCTCTTATTTTATTTGGCCACCCATTGCTTTGCAACATAGATTATGTGTTTTGTATTTTATGTTTCATGTTAATTTTTTTTTTTTTTAAACTAAACTATTAAGTAGTCATTCCCCTGGAAAAAGTTTTTAGAAACTATTTGTATTATCAGACTTTCGTATAGGTGTTTGATGGGCAACTTGTGGCAATTTTAACATTTTTTTCTTCTGAATGAAGTCTTTAGTGTTATAGGACAGGAAAATTAGATACAGCTGTGAAAAAACAGATATTGTCCAAAAGAACACCAGGTCTTCTGAATCATTGCACTACCATCAAGGCTATCTAAGGACAAACTCAGGAAAAAACACAAAAGTCAGGATAACATTGGCTTTGGAAAAATAAAAAGAAAAAAAATTGATTGGATTTCAACATCTCTTTTATAGACGAAAATAAAACCTGAGTGCTACTCAGATTTTCCTCATTTGAACCACATGATTTTCTGAACTTATTTATAACTATAATGTTGTCAGCTAGATCTATGTCTATGTATGTGTCCAAATATCTGTGTTTATTTCAGTGACTTTCTGCAGATCTAACTTTCAAAAATGTATTTAAATATTAATTAACTTGCTAATATTTCAAACCACTCTCATATCTTTTTTCCTTTTTTGTTACACAGTAGTTTTCTATAATTTATTCCTTCATGGGAGGGATTGAATCTACCAGATTAGAGAACTGCAGGTTATGATGCTTCCACTGCTAATATACAGAAATAAATTTAAAGCTATAAGGTTGTTTCACTTACTGACCACCAATTAGGCTGGTAAGGCTTCAAGAAAAGACACATTTCAGGTAGTTTCACCCTTAGAAATTGCTCTGTGATCTTTGATGTTTATACATGATTAGTTTGCTGAGGCTGATGTCTGACTTCCACGTTGGGTTTGCTGCTCAGCACATTGTCAGAGAGACCTTCAACGGCAAAACAAGTGGTTTAGGTCTTGAAGAGACTGAATGTGAAGAGTTCTGCCTCATCTCTCACATTGCTCCATTTAGTTTAGGTGGTTTTGTTTTCAGCCTAGTGCAAGAGCAGACTTTGTTACTGCTTGACATGGGAAAATTTTCACTAGGATAATTAGTTCCTAATTTTAACAGTAAAAAATAATGAATATCTATTTGAATTTCAGGTAGAAATACTAGGAAGGTAATACTATTATTCTCAGGTATTATAAAGCTTTAATTCCACACTAAAATTATCTACTGCATATGCAAACTTGGCAAAGAAAAAGCAGGCCAGGAAAAAGTATAGCTTATGTTAAAGCAGTGGGCATGCCCAAAGCACTGAGTTAAGTGCTTGTGCCCTGCAGTTGCCTGCAGTTACCTGCGACTGGACCTGCCTCTCATCTGGTTATAGAAGTCCTGCTGCATCAGGTTGGTCTGTTTTTCTAAAAAGTCTGCCTCTTTCACTTTGTATTTGTGGAAGGACAACGGCATGGATGAGCCCTGTGTTTTTTTGTTTTGTTTTGTTTCATTTTGTTTTTTTCTTGCATTGCAAGATGCACAGTTGCTCTCCTGAGATGTTTTCATGTAGTTTATGTATAGTCTTGTTTCAATCTTTTCCTAAAAACTTCCATGCATATTTTTTTATGATGAGTCTCTCTGCAAATGTCAGCAGTGAGGTATAACAAATTCCCATTGGGTTCAGGTCTTTGCTCGCAGTGCCTCCCTTGTGTAGGGCTTCTCAGCTACTTGACATTTGCATGAACACGAGCTTGTACCCTTGAAAGACACCAGCTTGGATCCTAAAGTAGCACAGCTATGTTGGTTCAGTGTTGTAGTCACAGGAAGTCCATTTAGTGCAAAACACTGCTTTGCTGTTGTGGCTGTAATGGTGGTGCTAGCTAGTGCACAGACTTTCTAACCAGCCTTGAAGTGGGCATTGTGCCCTACTTGTCATAATGTAACCTGGCTACCATTCCATGATAATATATTTCCCTGTTACACCAAAAACTGTCACTGCAGCATAATACTTGCATAGGAGTGGGAAAATATCCTATAGTAGCTTGTGTTTTCTTTTAGATCTTGTCACTTGGACATTTTAAAGCATCCTGCATGGTGAGGAGGGATCTGCTGCTTTGAAAATCCTCAGACAGAAGACACTCTGGTTTGTGTACAATGTCTAGTAAACCACATCATCCTCTGAAGCACTTAGTTTCTCAAATAGAAATATTACTCCTCTTTTCCTGAGAAGTTGTCTGGTTTTCAGCATGGAAAAATACAGATTGAAAAATACTCTGGGATTAAAAAAAGCAACAAATGCAAAACAACTACTTCTCTGTATTAATCAAGTGAAAGAATTTTCTCATAGCTGACCCAGCTGTTACTGTGTGTGTGCTAGGCAGAGAGGCAAGGCTTAAATCCTTGATCACCATGTTTTGGAAGACTGTCCTTCCTCCTGGAAGGGAGGAGGGCTGCATTCTGCTACAGTACCAAAATGTCCTCTGTCTCCTTATGCCTTACAGAAGTCAGGTGTAGACCTAAGATATTTTAACTGTGTGCGTAAGTGTAATGTTTAGTTGAGGCAGCCTTACTAGATGCTATAGGTGAGTGTGGCTGTTGGAATTCAGAGGTGACCACTGTGGCTTGTTCCCATCTGTACCCTCCTGTAAGGTGAGTGACTGCAAGCATGGAACAAGGTGGTCATTGCTGCTGGCTCCACTGGCCTCTTACATTGCCCTATAGTTTTGTAAAGTCCTTATATGACCCACATGATAACGCAAGTCTTAATTGCAAATGTAGCAGGAAGCATTTGATCACAAGTTGTGCTTCAACAATTCAACTCAGGAATCATTTCATGAAGTAAGATTTTAAATAACCTTTAGAAACTTGCAAGAAAACCTTAAATTCTGGGCCTAAATATCTTGCAGATTTGGTCAACTATTCTTACTAAATAGCACCATTATTGTTTGAGCTCATCCTAGTGTTGCAGGGGTTGCTAGGTAACTTCTAGTTCTGGTACCCAGGAAAATTGGATGGGGGGAAGCAGAGGGGAGAATTAAGTGCTTGGTTTATGTCCATTGGCCTGTAAGCATAACTATATATCCCTACTGAACTTACAGTATATCTTGCAGTTACATTGTCCTGCTGTTCCACCCTCTTTATTTTTCTAAGTGATACATTTTTTCTGCATGAGTTTTGTGTTTACATTAGCATTTTTTAAAGCCCTGGTTACAGAGCAGTGGAGATAGCAACTCAGTCCTTGAATTGCTCACAGCTGGATTTTTTTGTTATGATAAGGATAACAGTTAGGAGGAAACAGAAGATAGATTGGAATCTGAGGAGTTTCCAGTTTAGGCACCATCTTGCAAGGATCAGATTTGCAATCAAAATTAATTCTAAATGGTCTCTTTTACTTTCTTGCACATCGGTGGTTTATTATTAAAACCCAGCAGCTATGGCTCAAAATTAATTTAATTAGCCTGATTTTAATAAGATAGTTTCAAATATTCATCTACATTACCTAGGGACAACCTAAGTTAAGCTGATTGAAAACTGCTCATAAATTGCAAATGTACATTGATCCTTTCTGTCCAGCCTTGGTTCTGAGCAGAGCTCACAAGTAGAGAATGGTAGAGAATGCTCTTTCACTTACAGCTGATCCATGTGTTGGAACAACTGCAGTCAGTGTGCTGACTGCACATGCCATTTGCAAACAGATGAGGAAAACAAGCAAGTCAAAGTTT